CACAAAAAAGAAGTTTATTCAAGTGTGACATTAGTACACTTCTTTTAAAGTCAAAATAAGTGAGTATGCTTTCAGTTTACTTTTCATGTACTTATTAGAAATATATGAAAAAAAATTATATAGAAGTGTGCTTGGCTTATACTGTATAAGCATACAGAAAAGTATATTTGGTCTACATTTGTACTTTTGAGGAAAGTATAAGTATTCTTGCCTTACACATAAAGATTAATTATATTTGGCTTGTAGTTTGGGGTAGAATAGCTTAGAGTAAATAGTACCTGGGTGGAACCGAACCTGATCTTTATGCACACATATTTCATACAGACAGATAAACATTTGACTGCTTTTATTAACAATTCTTCATGTGAGTTTGGTGTGTTTTGTTTTAAACTGGAATGTCAGTTTGAGTTACTCTATATGGACAAAGTTATTGGGACACACTCTCATTGAATCCAGGTGTTTCATTCAGTCCCATTGCCACAGGTGTATAAAATCAAGCACCTAGCCATGCAGTCTGCCTTTACAAACATTTGTGAAAGAATAGGTCATTCTAAAGAGCTCACTGAGTTTGAGCGTGGCACTGTAATAGGATGCCAGTGAAGTCAGATAATCCATGATTAACTGTGAGTCGCATTATTGAAAAGTGAAGGTGTTTATGAACCATAGCAACGTAATCATGAAGTGTCAGACCACATAAAGTTACAGAGCGGGCCGTCGAGTGCTGAGGCACATAGTGCAAAAAGTCACCAGGGCTCTGCTGACTCAATAACTGCAGAGTTGCAAACCTGCTATGGCATTAACATTAGCACAAAAACTGTGCATCAGGAGATTCATGGCATGGGTTTCCGTGGCTGAGCAGCTGCGTGCAAGCTTTACATCACCAAGCACACTGCCAAGCGTTGGATGAAGTGGTAGAAAGCACACCACTGCTGCAGTCTGGAACAGTGAAAACTTCTTCTGTGAAGTGACGAATCACGCTTCTCTATCTGACAGTCTGATGGACGAGTCTGGGTTTGGCAAATGCCAGGAGGACATTACCTGCCTGCCTACATTGTGCCAACAGTAAAGTGTTGTGGAGGAGGTTGATGCTACAGGTTGTTTTTCAGGGCTTGGCCTAGAACCCTTAGTTCCAGTGAAGGAAAATCTTAATGCTTCTTCATACCAAGACATTTTGGACAACTGTATGTTTCCAACTTTGTGGGAACAGTTTGGGGAAGGCCCTTTCCTGTTCCAGCATGGCTGTGTCCCAATGCACAAAGCAAGGTCCATAAAGGTATGGCACTTGACTGGCCTACACGGAGCCCTGACCTCAACCCCATTGAACACCTTTGGCATGAACTAGAACAGAGATTGCAAGCCAGGCCCTCTTGTCCCACATAAGCGTCTGACCTCACAAATGCTCTTCTGGATTAATGGGCAAAAATTCCCTCCACACCCCAAAATCTTGTAGAAAGCTTTCCAGAAGAGTGGAAGCTGTTGTAGCTGCAAAAGGAGGATCGACTCCATATTAATGCCTAAGGATTTAGAATGGGATGTCATAAAAGCCTCTGTAGATGTGATGTGTAGGTGTCCCAATACTTTTGTCCATATAAGTGTATGTTCTCATATTTTGGCATCCAATACAATATTTTACAAATTTAGTATTATGTTAACTTCATTTAAAGAATACTTAGAAGTATAGTTGCAGTATAAAAAGTATCAATTCTTCATCTAAGACACTTGTCCTCCTGGATCATGGAGGGGAGGGGAGGTGCTGGAGCCTATCCCAGGTGGAAGGGATGAAACACACAGTCCACCACAGGGCAAAAAAAACTACTAACCTAGTAGTTTACTGAGAATATGCATAAAAGTATATTTTCATAAATTAAAAAGTGGGATAGAAGTATTTACTGCCTTTAATACATAAAGTATAGTTGGGAAAAATACTTTACTTATGTTTACTTAATAAAATTAAAATTGTTTGGGAAGATGAGGCTTCTAATGTGTTATTTGTATGTGTCTGTGGGTAATAAGGATTGATACCACTTTAGAATAAGACTACCTTATAATGTATTTATGAATGGTTTAAAAATAGTTTGTTAATGGTTATTAGTTGGTCATAAACATTTTTAAATCATTAATATAGCAGCTATAACACATTAATAAAAAGGGCAAAGGTGACCTGTTATATCGGATGAATATGACTATGTGACAAAGTAAGATTGATAAACATAAAAATCTGAGGTTTAACAGTATACATGAATGTGGTTTCTAAATAGGTCACTGTTTCCCTTTGTGTTGTAATTGCTCATTAATGATTTTAAGGTCTTTATTAACTAATTAATAAACCTATTTTAAACCATTTATGAATGCTTTATAAAGGCAGCCTTGTTTTAATGTGGTACAGAATGATATTTTTCTGTATAACTATCACTTTCATTTAATTGTAACTTTCTGAAAGTGGTCCTAACAACCAAGTTTTATTTGAGCTTGATCTTAAATTGTAAACAGATCATGATTACACTTAATAAAACATGTTCTTTTCTTCATTTGATTAACTTTTCAGTGAGCGGTTTTGTGCAGTGGTCTACCAGAAGTAAATATGAAGTTGGAGGTTCAGCAGTCCTTCAATGAAACACCAGTTCTCATGATGAAACTCTTAGTGGATGAAATTACATTAGCCGATTATAAACTGAGGCAATAAAAAAAAGGACAAAAACATTCTAACATAATTTTAATGAGCCATCTTTTTCTCAGCAACCCACTCAGTAGGCTCTTCCACTTTCTCTGCTATGTCTAGGGCTTTAGCTCTTGTAGCTCTGCCTTTAGTGTTTTTCTCTTAAAGTTAGTGGTACTTTTCTGGCAGCATGGACGACTAGATCTTGAGTCTGCTCAAAGTTAAATACTTTTGCGAATTGATTAATTATGCTGCACTTTCACAATTCCTTGCCAAATGCTGCACAATGGCATGGGCTACTCTCTCAGTCCCTTGTCACATATTGCAGTATACCTACGTTTCTCTTTTTCAGCGTTTCCTCTTTGCTTCTTGTTCTTTTGCTATTTATAAGCCTTCATCAGTGACAGGAAGTAGGACTGAGTCTAAACAGACTATGACTCTCTCTGTGATCTGCTGTTGAACATGCATCTTTCTTATGTCTCATTTTTTGAGAAGTACAAAATGATTTAACTGTAACTAACATGGCCTTTGCTAAGTGCAAGTTTCCTAGAAACCTAGCCAGTTTTCACTCACCGTTGTCTCCTGCTTGTCTGCACACAAATCTAGCTTGAGTTCGAGAACTGCTGGTACCGTGCTATGTCCTGTACTCTTTCTAATAAAGCATAAGACAAACATTATAACATATAATGAGTTCTTTATTGTCAGCTCAATACCAGGCATGTCGGTGTGGTCTGCATATTATGTAACTCTGTATGTCACATAAAAGAGGCATCATGTAAATGATGTACATCACCAAATGAACACATATTATCTTTGTAAGAACACAACCACCACAGAGCAGTTCCTATAACAGTTAGGAAATGGCAGGATCATTTTGTAATAATTATTATTGTCTGAATACTTCCCCTGTTTGATGTTGTTTCAAAGCATATATATATATATATATATATATATATATATATATATATATATATATATATATATATATATATATATAAAATGTAGTTTAATGCAGTTACTTCAATAAAGACAATCAAGGTACAGTGTATGTACATTGAAGCATACAGGAATGCAGCTGGTCCAGTATAGGATCACTATTTGCCAGCTATTTTTCATATAAATTGAGTGAATGATTCTGAGGGGCATCATAGATCAAACAGAAGCAAGCAAGAAAGCAAGGAAGGAAGGAAGAAAGAAAGAAAGAAAGAAAGAAAGAAAGAAAGAAAGAAAAGACCTTTTAGTCCCCAATTTAGTCATGTCCAATTCCACCCACTAGTTAGGACTCCCCCAATCACACAATACTACCAGTGCTAGGAGGGTGAAGGCTAGCACAAGCTTCCACTGAGACCAACGAAATTGGACAGCTGAACGCGGAGGAAAGTGCCTACTGCCAGTTCTGTTACATCAGCTAACAGACAACCACATCATGTTAGATGATGAGGAGAGAAGGGGGGCATCCTACCCACCCAGAGAGCGAGGCCAATTGTGCTCTCTTGGACTCCTGGCCACGGATGGCTGTAGCATCACCAGGGATCGAACTCGCAATCTCCTTATGACAGGGCCACTCAGGATACTTGTCAACCAGAGGAGGATTGGTTCCCCTTTTGAGTCTTGGATCCTCTCAAGGTTTCTTCCTCTTAGTTTTAGGGAGTTTTTCCCACCACTGTTGCCATTGGCGACGCTCATGGGGGCCCAGACACAGATTTTTCTGTAAAGCTGCTTTGCGACAGAACCTGTTGTAAATGACACTGTATAAATAAACCTTGACTTGACTAGACTACACCCACATAACATCACAGATGCTGACTTGTGAACTGTGCAACAAGGTGGATACTCCCTCTCCTCCCTATTCCATCCTCCTGGAGGATGCAGCATCCATGATTTCCAAAAATAATTTCAAATTTTGGATTCTGTAATTTCTTTAATGAAATCATGGACCATAGATGGTAAAATCCCCAAGTTATTCACTATATGACATTCAAAAATGTTATTTTCCCATGAAGTCTTTCACAGAGTGGTGAACCCCTCCCCATTTTTTATAGCATTAAACAAACTTACCAGTCTTAATGGACATATATTTTTCAAAAAGCAATAAAATTTCTCAGTTTGAACATTTGATTTGTTATCTTTGTACTATTGTCAATTAAATGTAGGGTTTACATGATTTATACAGTACTGCATTTTATTTTTATTTACATTTTGCACACTGACTCCTTTTTTTGGAAAACAGGGTTGTATATCAAGAGATTTAAGATCATTTCACTTGATAGGATGTCGTGTCTTGCAGTGTACACACGTCAGCGTTTTGCACTATAGTGGTTCGAGCTATCTATAAGGTGTGAGTGAGAAAGTAGATGTGAGAATGTGACAGGATGAAGCATCTGATGTCTTTATTGTTTGTGTCTCTATGGGGTAAGAATGCTATCATTCTATGTAATTATAACTTTCATTTAATTTTTGTGAACTTCTGTAAGGTAAGTGGTACTGTCAGTCAAGTTTTAATTGAATTAAATTGTAAACAGAGCATGATTACACTTATTTGAAACACATGTTCTGCTCTTAATATGAATTTTTTTTTTATTTCCAAGGTGTTGCATTTGGCACTGTTTGGATTGTGCAGTGGTCGACCAGAGAGAAATATGAAGTTGGAGCTTCAGCAGTCCTTCAGTGCAACATCAGATCTCATCAAGAAACTGTTAAGGGATGTAAAATATATTGGGTCATATTGGACCAAAGCAACAAAAATAGGACAAAAAACATTGTAAAAATAGAGGAATATCAAAACAGAGTGCAAATTCATCAAAATGGTACTTTTAGTGAAATTACTCTTCACAATCTTTCAACATATGACACAGAAGAGCTGTTTTGCACGGCATCCTGTCTCATTGATGGAATACTGAAGCAGATCTCTAGCAACGGGACTTCACTGATTATAACTGGTGGGTTAAAAATATGTGATTTTCATTACTTATTCTACATGTTCATACATCTAATTCACAAAACAGCACAAACAATGTCCTATGTCTCCTGGAGAACATGAACACTGTATAACAGCAGAATAATTTCTTTTCACTTCGGTTAAAGTGTAGCTATGACACAGCTTTGGTCTAAAATGTGGTTCTTTACGTCTTTAGACACCTATTATATTCAATCTTTCATTTCAGAATGGCAACCGGAGCCTGAATTTCCATGGCTACAGTATCTCTTCTTCTCTCTTAATCTGCTGGTCTTCTTAATAGCCACCATTATCTGTGCATTAATCATTCGAAATAGGATCCAAAGAAATTAGCACTGGTGACTGTATATATAATATTCTGTATTTTGCATAATACTGTGCAACTTTCTGTGCTTTTATACTTTGTACAACTGTCAGTACTGCATCCTGCAAGTGATCCTAAATTAATATTGCTTGAATGTAATTAAAACCTGAAATCTGTAGGCTGTGACTGACTGGAAACAATATTATTATGATATCTTTAATAATGACGATTGGCATGATAACATGGCCCGCAAATTTGTTATTGTTTCTTTTATTTAAAATGTTTGTCTATTGTCTAACGAAGTATTTTATAAGCCTTTAATAACTTATGAACCTTTACTGCTGATGTGAATTCTGAATTATAGAAAATGATATATCTACATTATAAAACTGTTTACATATATGTAAAAACTGACGCAAGATGCTTCAAATGTGAATTCCTGTTTATATTATTATGCTTGCTGTATCTGAACTAAACTTTCATTTAAAAAATGCAACTGACTAAGATTCATGTCTCTGTATTCTGACCTTACTTCCCATTTTGTTTTCCATTTACCGCTGGGGGCAGTCATGTGCTGAAGGCTAAGGAACGAGCCTTGTGACTGGAAGGTCACCGGTTCGATCACCTGAGCCGACAGTACATGACAGAAGTGCCCTTGAGCAAGGCACCTAACCCCCAACTGCTCTCCAGATTGGGGTGCCCACCGCTCCGGGCAAGTGTGCTCACTGCCCCCTAGTGGGTGGGTGTGCATTCATTAGTGTGTCTGTGTTGTTTCACTGCATGCATGGGTTAAATGCAGAGGATTTCCCTATTAAGTGACTAATAAGGGTCTCTTAATCTTCTCCTGATACCCAAATATACATCATCATAACAAGCACCAATGAAGTAGGACACTTGGGCTTATGGTGCTTAGGTGACTAACATACTTGCTGAATTTTGGGTGACACTATTTGGAGTGGTCATTTGTAGATGATTAACTCTTAGCAGACTATCAGTAACACATCAACAACATATTACTGAAGCACCGGTAGTGAAGCACCCGAGTACAATGAGGTGAATATCTTGTAGATGTACTGTTGATTCATGACTTACATTAAGTAGATGTATTGTTGATATGAAGTAGACTTAATATGGTACTTCCATTAAGCAAAACCTAACCTTACCCAAGCCTAACCCTCATCCTGGTGTTGTTTATTTAATTAGCGATGATATGAAGATGATGAAGAAGTCTCCGCTGACACAGTCTTGCTTGTATAAGATGTTTATTACAAAGTAAAACAGTATCATATCAAGCACTATAAAGTACTTGAGAGGGGATCCGTGCCAATTCTGAAGTGTCCCCTCCAGAACAGTATAGCCAATGGCTTATATAGGGTGCTTGTTTTCGAAAAAGGGAACAGAACATATGGTCCTTTTTAAAATGATCTCATCTGTCTGGAACTAAGAGAAGAAATAATAGAGGAAAAGAGGCCCACTCCCTATGGGGCCTTTGGACCAGGGGTCCCCTAACTTAAACATTCCAAACCTGCAAAAACAGAACACATGGACCTTCAGACACCACAACATCAACTTATACTAAAAGTTAAGAGTGCTTTTGCCTTCTTCTGTAAAGCTACTCTTTTAAATATACTTCACTGGCACTAAACCTAACCCTAACATTAACCTCAACGGAAAACCTTATTCTAACCATCACCCGGCAATAATCCTAACCTTAACCTCAACCCAAAACCTAATCCTATCCCTCACCCTGGCAATAATCCTAAACCTAATGTAACAGTTATTGCAATTTTAATCTGATTATAAATATGATCATTATTGCTTAAACTAAAGAGGAGGTCAGGGTAACTTGGATTTAGTTTAAAATCTACAGACCAATGCAAGGAAGAGACAGACACTCGTGCTGAGGATACTTCAATCAAAAGTAACTTTATTGGCTAAATTTGACACTACAGTTGGATAACTTGGTTAATCAAAAAAAGAAAAGAAATAAACAAACAAATGAATGTCTCAGGTAATGTAACATTTCACAGTGTAAAATGGTATGCAAAGGTGGCTGAGGGCGCTCCTTGGGAAAGCAACTCGAGCCAAAATCTATAGGGCAACTTAACCTAAACTAGCATATGTCTAAAAGAGAATTATTATCGAATAAAATAGCGTTGAACCTTGACTGCACTAATGAAAGATAGCCAGTCTTACTTTGAGGTCGGTAGACAGGAGTGCAGGTCCTCTGAGATGGGTTGCTTGAGGACCGGCTGGAGCTCACACGCTGGGCATTCCTTTGCTGGCCCTGGAGTCTTGGTGGGACTTCACACAGGCGACGCGCTGCAGTTGATGACCGGCTTCTGCGTCTCGCCGGCCCGAGGATGAAGCTTGGAACCAGGGCAGTCTTCTGGCGAGGATTCGGTTCGCCGGTCAAGGTGCGGCTCTGGCTGGGCTTCAGAGTCTCTGGGCTTCTTCTTAGGGCTGTTTGAGAATGGAACTTGCAGTGAGGCGGCCCTTTGTGGTCAATCTGCCTGCAAATTGAGGTGGGGCTCGAAGGGAATCTTGGTTCTTGGCCTGACAGGCTTCCTGGACTCACAGTGGCTGGGGAAGTGCAGTCAAATTTCGAGGCTGCTAACCTGAATTAACTACCTATCTTCGTCAGAGCTGAAACTTGAAGTTCCTTACTTGGCCATGTAAAGAAATCTTCACTTTCTTCTCTAAGGTTGGGTTACAATTAAAGGTATAAACAAAAGACAAACTACACGAACAACAAAATATCCAGATTTGATCTAAACTCCTAAACTTTCTTTCTCACCGTGGTTGGCACAGACTTGTGGAAGTTTTTCCTTGTTCTCTGGAACGCGAGCTCAAACTAACTGGAACTGGCGTGCACGCCGATTTTACCCGGCTGTTGGCCCCTCCCTTCGATTCAGATCATTGAATTAAGTTCCTAAAATCTACAACAGACAAACCTAACATTTGTGCGTCAACCTACAGTTTTTATCCACATTACCTGAAAACAACTATTGTAAAGGCAGAAATAGTCTTACAGGTAACCCTTTGGGTGTCTTTTCATGGCAGGAGATTTAACACAGTAAAATCATCAGTTCAAAAGAATAAAATCAAGTAAATGAGAAGAGTAAAATAGAAGCCTAGATATAATAAGTGAAAATAACACCTAGGTGAATGCTTAGTGTTCTAAAATCACTCCTTTAAATGGTTATTTCAGTAACTTTGACAGTTATCCTACACATTCCTAACGTTGGGTAAAAGAAAGGAGAATACACACTAAGTAACTGGGTAGACAAATACAAGCATCAGCTCTTGCAAATTAGATAGGGTTGATAGTCAAACATGCATATCAGTGAGTTTGTGGGGTCCTTTGTGAGTAATAGTCCTTACGGTGGTGATGTGGTAATTCTTGTTTTCACACCTTGGGGTGCTGTGGGTCCATGTTTGAGGTCCTCAGGGGATTTAAAAAGTTTAAATTTTCAGTTCAGATTGTCGTTGCAGTTCCATTCTTGTATGTCTAGTTTAGTTAAAATGACTCCTAATGAATGGTTGCGGTTTGGAGTGGACATATACCTTAGAAATGTACTTTCTGTTACTTAAAGATAAAGTTGTCCACAGGACTTTGGAGAGCCATATGGCCACATTCCAGAGGGGGTGTTCTGTTGCCCCCTGGGCTGAGGGAGAGGGGAGCTGGTTCTTGATTCAGCTGTAAATTTGAGTTTGGGGTTGGGAGTGTTAAGTCGACAGATTTACACTTTCAACTCCAGACTCACTGGAGCCAAAAGGCCCTTAACTTTTGGGTGAACACTCAGTTCGAAGTAAAGTTTCAGCCAGTGTTCGCTACACTAACCTTAAAACTAATCCTAACCCTCACCCTGGATCTAACCCTAATCCTAAACTTTAACCTCGACCGAAAACCTAATCCTAACCCTCACCTTGGCCCTAATCCTAACCCAAACCTTAAGCAAAACCTAATTCTACTCCTAAACCTTAATCCTAACCCCAACCTTAAGCAAAACCAAATTCTAACCCTCAACCTGACCCTAATCTTTATCCTAACTTTAACCTCAACCTAAAACCTAATCCTAACCATAACCTAAATCAAAACCTAATTCTAATCCTAACCCTCACCTTGTCCTTAATCCTAAATCTAATCTTAACCCCAACCCAAATACTGATCCTAATCGTCACCCATGCCCAAATCTTAACCCTTGTCCTAAATTATTTTTGATATGCTAAAAAAGATGATGAAAAAAAATATGATGATGATGATAATGATGATGATAAGAACTTGCACTGCCTGCATGTACTTAACAATGCGTCACAGATATTGTTCTAAATGAATCAGGATGCTGACATTGTAAAAAATAAATAAATAAATAAATAAATAAATGGATAAAAAATCAGTAGAAATCATTGCCCTGCTGTGTTCTGGACTGACTCTACCCTGATTTCACCCTAGCTCCTACTCATAACCATCTGAGCCACCAGTTTCCTGTTTACCTGTGTGCTTAATATTGCCTTTAGACAGCCGTCATAAACACATGAATTTCCTAGCACAAACAAGCGGTAAAGTTGTAAATACAAGTGACAAACATGCAAGTTTCAAATAACCAGCCAGCATGTTCGCTGAGACCATGTAAATCCAACAGACCAACATTTCACACACAGTGTCCTAGTTAATCTGATAAAAGAGGTACAGGGGAAACAATATTTTATTTGATAATATTCACTAATGGTCATTAGGGTCTGCAGAAATAACACACAAATTAAAACTGAAAACTTCCTGAAATCTGCCCCTTAGCAACTTTCATTTTAGTTTCATTTCATACCTAAACATCTTCCTCAGAGAACGTAGCAAATCTCTTCAGTTCTCACCATGAAATCTTGAAGGTAAGTTTGTGTTTATTTAAACAAATTCCTGGGCCAGATAAGACACTGAATCAAATGTGGTGAATGAATTAATGCTTGATGCTGTCTATATTTATTACTTTTGAAGAGAGGAGTAGGGTGAACAGGGGTGAACAGTGTTTGATTTATTCCAGGATGTCATGTGAGTGTAAACAAGAGAAACTTCATTTATTTTTACTTTCCTAATGTAGTGGGCTATTTTAATTTCAGTAATCAGAACTTTGACTTAAGATACAAAGAGCAATCCAGGCACCAGGATGTCTGGTGAATATCTGAGTATGGCCACCAGAGTGCTTTAAGGACACATCTGGCTTTAAAACAGAGATAAGCAAGACCATGAATGGATGACCCTGAGGGCAATGTTAATGGACACCTCACAAAATCCTATCTTTAAACGCTCTATGAAGAACCACAGTAAATTCTGGATGCAAACTAAGTTTTATGACTTGAGAGTCCCTCCTTGGGGGTCCCTCTATCTATCTACTCCCCCTTTCCCAACATCTGCACCCAAGCAGTCATAAAATCTTTAGATCCTTGCAAGACTAATTCTCAAATCCAGGGATGTTCTCCCTGCTATCTTAACCATATGAATGCAAAGTTCTGTAAGATTTTAATTACAGCCGAATCCAATTAATCTCTTTTCTTAATTAAACTGTATAAAATACCTCTGTGTCTTTGTTAAAATATCAGTGTGTCACTCAAAATGTGGTTTCCCATGCAGCATTGTCAGATGTGAATGAAGACTAAGATTCCCTACATTTGATAGTTAATTTGTGATTCTTAAACCCTAACCACTTTCATTAATCAAGATTATTATTGAGTTGATCTTTGATCATTTGTAACTGTTTTCTATTTAATAATTTTTCTAGAAATATCCAGTTACTAAATCCATGTGTTCTGTTGAGTCATGTTTTAACCTCACATAGCTATAGAGTTATCATGTTTTCTTTCCCTTAGAAGTAGAACTATGTAGGTAAAGTTTGTGAATTACATGCCTATTCTTCAAGAAAAATGCAATATTTTAAGCATAATAGAGGTTCTGCCATAAATATTGACAGGAAATATTAATAGTAACTAAATAATGTACTCAGCATTTCTTGTACTCAACACTACGTAAATTCTCTTTCACTTAAGCACTGTTTAGAAATGTTATAGTGTTCATTAACACTATCTTTGGAATTATGTTCTTTTTTTGGAAATCTCATTTTCTTGGTAATGATGTTTCTTTCAGAAATAGGATTGTTAGAGGTTACAAGTAGCAGTGGTGTGAAATTAGAGCTCTTTTAGATATGATAGTCTGTAAGCTCAACAGTTTTTCTGTAATAGTTACTATTGAAACAGTAATAATGTAATATTTTTGGTTTTTGTTGAATAACTTACAGAATAATTAAGTTGGAATAGTTGTATGTTTATACAAGCAACATGTACTTGAACTAGCACCTACTGTTCATGCACAATTCCACCAAAATGACGGGAAATGTTACAGTTTACCCCATGGGTGGATTAACTGAAACAGACAGAGGGTTAATTTAACACTTGCTAGAAAAGTCTGATGAATTAGCAATGCTGCGTTGTGGGAAACAAGATGGTGAATAAAGTAATAGAATTTTGGATTTTGTGATTTACATAAACAGCTCAGTAACTGAAAAACTTGTGTTGAAAAAATTACTTACATGGCCTGAAAACACTCTTTGGCACAGATCTCTTCAAAATGCTGATGGTTCACTTTGAATTGTTGACCAGTGGCCAGACGCTCATGCTGCTTCATCGTCTTTAACAACGTAAAAAGTCTGTGGTAATTTGTGCCCTGCGTTAGGTTGTTCCTCACGCTCCCCTATGTGAAGCTGTGGGTGAATTTGAGCAGACACACAGATGAAGAGATTGCATATTCATTATAAATGGAACGTGGGAACCCTATTTGACCCATCTTAGCTCTGCCCACAAGAGGAAGGTAGAGAGAGAGAAAGAGTCAGAGAGAGAGAGAACCACCAAGAGAACAGAAGAAGCAGAGCCCTCCGTTCCTTTGTACTTTAAATCTGCAGATTTTAGAATTTAGTTTTATTTTGTTTCGTGTCTCAGTTCGTCGCGTCTTTGTACAGTTTTTAATTGTTCTTCACGCAGTAAAAAAGTTATCTATTACACTCATTGCGTTTGCACGTTGAATAGTCTAACCAAGCTGCGTTTGTTTTCAAATTCCATTGATTCATTTTGAAAGTTTAAATGGCCAATGATAGATCATTGCGAAATCTGCTAGCACAGTTTAAAAATTGCACACAGAAGTGAACCAATGCTGACGTGGAAGCTATAACAGAAGTTTGCCTTCATAGCCTGGTGGCGTTGTAGCTTGCTCTGCACTGCGCTGCACTGCACTGCCGAAGAAGAAGAACAACAATGCGGAAATACGCCATTTTCACGAAGAGACGATACAAGCCGGGCGAGGTCCATTGTGATCAATTGTCATCGTCCATTGCCGAAGAAGACCTAGGAAAGGCCACTGTTTTAACGAGAGACGACAAAAGCCAGGCCAGTATTTGTATCTGGGGTAAGGGCCTAGCACTCTGTTCCAAAGCTGTATGGTACTTTCACTTTTCACTGTATATGATCCAGTCTTGCTGTGGTATTCTGTCCCCCGTTTAATCTAAACTTAGGTCAGTCATCATGCTAGCATTTATTTGCTATTCTGCGTGTAACCCTACTAAACAATAAGCAATCAGGATTTTGGTCCTTAAAATAGCTCATATAATTCAGTATGGATAAACCATGCTTTGTTCTCTATCATCATTTCTTTTCCCCTTTTCTTATTTTTAGTTACAGTTCATGACCTAAACTCACTATCTGGGAGAAAGAAGTGAGACTAAAGAGGCAGAAGAAAGAGAAAGAAAAATAGTACAAGAGCGAGAAAGTTTAACGTTGATTCTGTGGCCAACGGAACAACCACAGTTAACGCAGTCGTGTTATCAGCCCGGTATCATGTAAATAACTGTGATACAAGGAAAATGATGCTAATGTCTTGTAATTACTTGTACTTATAACAGTTTATCCAACAAGTTTGACAATCATTGAACTGCCTAGCTCAGCCTAGCAGCCAGCCTCTTTGTAGTAGCTAATAGTGGACTATTTGGTGAGCTCAACCAAGCCTTCGACTGTCCAACCGAGGTCTAGACCTCGCTCGACACTCAGCCATTACACACAGCCACTTCTAGCTCCTCTGAGCTGCCCCACCCATGTGATGCCCCTGTCAGAAAGAGCGAAAGAGAGGAAAGGACTGACAGAGAGATCGTTTTTAGAGTCTGCAGCAAATGTAGATTCATGAGAATCATTTCATCACCTGAACAGCTGAGAGAATGAAAAAGAGAATCTCATGGTTGCGTGCGAAGGAAAGGAGGAAGATGATCAGTGGTTTGTGGGCATCTGTGTAAGACACAGTGAGAGAGAGGAAGACTGTGTGTGTGTGGGCGGCTCACTGCACAGTTTGGGTGTAACAGAATTTGAATTTATGCACTTCGAGTTCACTAAACCTTAAGAATGGCTTATTACCAATACTTGAAAAGAATAGCTCTGTCTAAGAATTGCTTTACTTTCAAAGCCATACATTTGAGTTTAAATCCTTTGAGTGGAGGGTTGTGAATTAGTAAGATATTACTGAAATATATAAATTCTATGTAAATTCACCCTTTTATTTTCGTCAAAGTTTCTATACCTTCTATTTTGGGATGTATTAAATCTAAAACCTGTACATCCTACCTTTGAGTATTTCAAGTTCTTTGTATTTGATTAGAAGCGGGTACTAGCATAGTTACTGTCCATGTAATTTATTGGAGGCACTGCCAGTGTGTTTTTCTTGCAATCATTAAGCTAGGATTACTCAGATTATTAAAATATTAAAAATTATTCTGAACTAGTAAACCAAATCTATGGAATGCAGGGCGTGTACTGCTCAAACATCATAAACTAACTATTTCTGGGTCTCTGTTATTTGTTGCATTTTCAAGTCTCTAGCTTTCTCTGCATACTTATTAATTTAGTATTTAGTATATATACCTCATATTAATAAATGAGCTTTTATTAAAGTTATCATTTGGTTGGTTGTGTGTATGATCACCGCAATCTGATCAATTGATCCCTGTCCGCAGGAAAATCCTAACCTGAGACGAACCTAGAAGTCGGTTGTTTTTATGATGTAAGTGGGAAATAGCTGGACCAAATGACCTTCTCCCACTGCACTAATAATGCTCCAAATATAACACATTAAATTTGGCCTGCTATATTCTATATATCTAAGGCAATGCTTTGTAGTGTGGAACCCTTGGTCTTTGTTTCAAAATGTAACGTATAAGGTTCCAGTGTTTTCTTTAGCAATTTTTTCTTTAGGGCCATTAGAGTAAAGCCATTTACTTTAGTGATAATATATGTGCATATTTGAAATAAAAATAAAATAAACATTATGGCACATTTTTATGCCCATATTTAAGTAACTGGCTTCTTTCTTAACCTGTAGCTCCATCTAGCTGGTGTACAGACACACAGTCTGTAGCTCATTTGTTGTCAGTTTATGACCTTTGTTGCCATTGTTGGCTGGATATTTTGGCCAACTGTTCTTAACCCAGCAGTGACATAAAAGTGTGGAAAAACCCCAATAATCCCAACTGGCAACTCAATGTTAATTATGATTTTGGCTTGAAATGACAAAAACTTTCTTTTGTTCAAGCAACTTAAGCATGAAGTATATCACAGGATGGCACTGGGTACTGATAAAAAAAAAGTAATAAACAAAAAGCATTTCAGGTCAAGACAAAGCAATGCAAAGTCATATCATATGCCGATTTTAATACCTTATTTTTATCCTTTGTTTGACTTTTTGTAGACCATGGGATTGCTGTGTCTTGTACCACTGATCCTCCTGAGTCAGCCTCTCCTCATACAGTCTGGTAAGCCATTTATACAGTTTAAATAAGTATATACACCGATCAGACATAACATCATGACTATTTCTACGCTCATTTTATCAGCTCCACTTACTATATAGGTGCACTTTGTAGTTCTACAATTACAGACTGTAGTCCATCTGTTTCTCTGCATACTTTGTTAGCCCCCTTTTACCCTGTTCTTCAGTGGTCAGGAGCCCCATGGACCCTTATAGAGCAGGTATTATTTGGGTGGTGGATGATGATGTGGCGCTGATGTGGTAGTGGTGTGTTAGTGTGTGTTGTGCTGGTACAAGTGGATCAGACACAGTAGTGCCACATCAGTGTTACTGCAGTGCTGAGAATGATCCACCACCCAAATAGTACCTGCTCTGTGAGGGTCCAATGGGGGTCCTGACCACTGAAGAACAGGGTAAAAGGGGGCTAACAAAGTATGCAGAGAAACAGATGGACTACAGTCTGTAATTGTAGAACTCATTGAGTCCTCATAGATTTTCATATTTCGGATTTTGACTTGTTAGCAGGGCAGAGAAGTGTACTGTAAGGCCAGGTCTGTGTACCCATTGTGTTTTATTCATTGTGGAAGCCTGTTGGCCACTTCACCACTGAAGAGGGACAAGACGATATATCTAATTAATGCATTTTAATGCACAGAGTTGGCTTTTCACATAGTTAACTGATAAAGTTGAACTCTCTTCTGTGTATCTAGTCAGCATGATAAAACTTTGGCTAGTAATTTGAGAATATCAGAGGAAGCATCTGCAGTGGTACAGCTGTGCAACAGCAAGAGAGACCTACTGATTGGTGTGAAATAAGGAAGTTGAATCACAAAACTGAATGCAAAACATTACATTCTATCAATTTCTTTACATGTATGTAATCTCGTTTCTTTCATTTCAGTTTTTCAACAGGTAGATGTACATTGTGACCATGCAAGCAATGAAACAACAGCATGCCTTCTTGATGGTTCCTGCAGTTGGAAAGCTAACCTTGCGTCATGTCAGAGTAAGTCTCATAGTCATACTTTTTATATTAGTTGGCATGACCTTTCCCATCTTGCAGCTTTTCCAGCTCATCAGGCATTAGCATGCCAACAGGAGTACAGATTTCTATTATGCCCCATGTTTGTTGTTAGAAATAAAATAGGTTGAACAGTACAGCCAGCTGTGCTTGTATTCACATTTCTGATTTTCCAGCTTTACAGATACATTGCATTGAACAAGATGGCTGGGGAAAGGAGAGATTCTGTACCTCAAGTGAAGAATGTGGATTCTCAAATTTTCCAGACACTCTAATCGGTGTTATAGACTGTGAAATCACAAAAGGTGTGTTCAAATGTTTATTACTCTTCCTTAAATGCTTAAAGCACCATCTCTGTTACCAAAAACTGTGGTTGTATTTATCAGGGAAAAAAGTGGAAAAACAATTATTTATTGCTGTGATATCAGTAAAGCTTCTAATCCCCCACCAACATACAGTGCTGCTTGAAAGTGTGTGAACCCTTTGTGAATTTCTAAATAAATGTGGCCTGAAATGTGATCAGATTTTCACTTAATCAAAATCAGAATCACTTTATTTTGCCAAATATGTTACACATACAAGGAATTTGCCATGATGAGTCCAAACATAGATAGCATATTATGTACTGAGCAGACCAGAGAAGCAACTGGTAACAAGTATAAACTAAGAAAAAATGTAAATAAATTACAAAAATAGAATAAAGAATAATGAATAAAGATAAGTGTAAATATATGTAAATATGCAGATAAGAATACCTACACATACAAAGGTCTGATGACATATATGGGGACAGTCATGGGCTGGACGTTAAGGAACCAGCCTTGTGACTGGAAGGTCTCCTTTTTGATCCCTTGAGCTGACAGTATGTGACTAAGATGCCCTTGAGCAAGGCACCCAACCTCCAACTGCTCCCTGGGCGCTGTGGATAGGGCTGCTCATCACTCCGGGCAAGTGTGCTCATTGCCCCCCCAGTGTGTGTGTTCACTAGTGTGTATGTGGTGTTTCACTGGACAGAGGGGTCAAATGCGGAGGTGAAATTTCCCCATTGTGGGACTAATAAGGGTCACTTAATCTTAAAAATGATTATAAACAGAATTATATGAATATTTGCAGAAATTTACATCCGTACAGTTGTGCAAATTGCATTATGTTAGGGAGGAGTTCTACTGTAACACAATAAGGAGGTTTGATGGTTTAGTTTATTTTTAAAGTGCAAGGTGTGATTAGTGAGTGCTGCAGCTCTGGAGAAAATGCTGTAAGCATGTCTGTTTGTGATAGCCTTGAATCTTCTACCAGAGGAACATGGCTGGAAGAGGTCATGTCCAAAATGAGAGGGGTCAGCTGTTATTTTGAGTTCTTCATCAATCTGCTGTTGTAGATGTCCTGAAGCGTAGGCTGACTACATTCAAGTCAAGTCAAGTCAAATTTATTTGTATAGCGCTTTTTACAACTGATGTTGTCACAAAGCAGCTTCACAGAAATCCATTAAGGACAAAGTTTTAACATGAAATGTAAATCCTCCAGGTGAGTAAGCCAGGGGCGACAGTGGCAAGGAAAAACTCCCTCAGAGCTGAGGAAGAAACCTTGGGAGGAACCAAGGCTCACATGGGGGACCCATCCTCCTCTGGTCAAACTACCTACAAAATTATTATACTACTAATATTAGTAGTAGTACTAGTAGTAGTAGTAGTAGTAGTTAGGAGTCCATGAGTGGGAGTGGGAGTGGGCAGCTAGTCCAAGTCAAGTGGCGGTAGCTGGGCAAGTGGCGGCGACTGGGGCGTGGGCAGCTGGTCTGAAGCGGATAGCAGGAGAGCTCTGCAGACAGTCATCCATCAGTGTCCGTCCGGCAGGTGGGCAGTCGTTTACTCGGAAAAAGGTAGGGAGATGGAATTAGTTTTATTTTGTTTGAGTGTATGTAAAACAGAGTATGTGAACATTTCCAGAGTGTGGCTAACGACTCCGGCAGATCTGACTATAACAGCTTAACTAAAAGGAGAGAACCAAAAGGACACATAGACACGGGAGCACCCTGAAACAATTTGGCATCCCTTCGCTCCACCGTCCACAAACCTGAGTGATCGTGTGCGAGCGGCGGGACGACAGCACCAGTCTCAGTTTACTATAATTCCCTGTGTCCATGGACCCCTGGATCTGCTGCCTTTATCTAAGGGGGAACATTAACTACCAAAAGCTAAACTAAACAAGTGAGTTTTCAGCCTAGATTTGAAGATTGCGACTGAGTCTGAGTCCCGAACATTTTCTGGAAGATCATTCCAGAGTTTGGGGGCTTTATAAGAAAAGGCTCTTCACCCAGCTGAAGCCTTCTGAATTACTACTACTACTAATTAATTACTACTAATAAAAAGCCAGCACTCTGTGATCTGAGTAATTGTGGTGGCTCATAATGGGAAATAAGGTCTTGCAGGTACTCAGGAGCGAGCCCATGTAGGGCTTTATACGTCAATAAAAGAATTTTGTAATCGATACGGAATTTAACAGGCAGCCAATGAAGTGATGACAGAACTGGACTGATATGATCAAATTTTCTAGTTTTAGTGAGAACCCTGGCTGCAGCATTTTGAACTAGTTGAAGTTTACTTACATTCCTGCTGGTGCATCCTGACAGTAGTGCGTTACAATAGTCTAGCCTTGAAGTAATAAAGGCATGTACTAATGTTTCTGCATCATGCAGCGATAAGGCATTTCTTATTTTGGCGATGTTGCGAAGATGTAAAAAAGCTGTCCTAGTGATGCTGCCTATGTGTTGATCAAATGATAAATCTGGATCAATTATGATGCCAAGGTTTTTTTCTGCTGAACCAGGTATAACTGGGAAGTCAGCAAGATTTAAAATTAAATCTGATAATTTATTTCTTGCCACTTTTGGACCCAGAAGGAGAACCTCTGTTTTGTTACTGTTTAAAAGGAGGAAGTTACGCAACATCCAGCCTTTCACATCTTTTACCCAGTCCTCTAGTTTCTTTAACCTGTATTTGTCATCAGGCTTGGCTGATATGTATAATTGCGTATCGTCTGCGTAGCAGTGAAAGTTAATGCCATGGTTACTTATAACTGTGCCTAACGGTTACATGTATAATGTAAATAATAACGGTCCTAAAATAGAGCCTTGCGGAATTCCAAATCTTACTTGTGAATAATTGGAAGATGAATCATTTACCTTTACAAACTGATAACGTTCCGTTAAGAAAGATTTGAACCATGATAGGGCTGTCCCTGTGATTCCAACCATGTTTTCTAACCTTTCTAGGAGAATATTGTGGTCTATTGTATCGAAAGCTGCGCTGAGGTCAAGTAGCACCAACAGGGATACGTAGCCTTGATCAGAGGCAAAAAGAAGGTCATTTGTCTTAACTAGAGCTGTCTCAGTGCTGTGATGTGGCCTGAATCCAGATTGGAATTTTTCATATATGTGGTTCTTATGTAGATATGAACTAAGTTGTTGGGCTACAGCTTTTTCTAAGATCTTAGATATAAATGGCAGGTTAGATATAGGCCTGTAATTAGACAATACGCTAGCATCAAGGTTTGGTTTCTTGATCAGAGGCTTAATAACTGCTAGTTTAAAAGCTCTGGGTACATGGCCCAGGCTAAGGGACGAGTTTACTATAGTTAAAAGAGGATTAATGATAACTGGTAGCACTTCTTTGAGTAATTTTGAGGGAATTGCATCAAGTGTGCAGGTTGTACAATTTGCAGAGGAGATAATCTTCTCTAATTCTGGCTGTGTGAGTGGGTAGAAAGTTTCCAGCCTTTCCTCTGCAACTACGTTATGTTTTATATCAGCCACATCAGATGACAGCCAAGGTGGATTTAATACTGTGGGTTGAATTTGTTGTCTAATATTTTCGATTTTATTATTAAAAAAGTCCATAAAAACTTCACTGGTGAGAGTCGCCGGAATTTGTGGTTCAGTACCTGCCTGATTTTTTGTAATTCTGGAAATCACACTAAACAGTACTCTAGGATTATATTTATTATTCTTGATCAGCGAGGCCAGATATGCTGAGCGAGCCTTATTGAGAGCATTTCTATACTCTATAAGGCTGTCCTTCCAGGCAAAGTGGAACACTTCCAGCTTGGTTGATCGCCATTTCCGCTGTAGTTTCCGTACTGTTTGTTTTAAGGTACGGGTTTTATCATCGTACCATGGGGCGAGCTTTTTCTGTCTTATCCTTTTGAATTTAAGTGTCGCCATATTTTCTAAAGTAGATCGAAAGGTATTTTCTAAATAGTCGGTTAATACATCTAGCTCCATTGGGTCTGATGGAGTGGAGACTAGGGTTGTTAGTTCTGGGAGGTTTTCTACGAATTGTAGGGCGGTAAATGGTTTTATTGCGCGCTTTGTAGAATAGCGAGGGGACGTACATGTATTATGGCTAAGACGCAGCTCATAAGAAATTAAGTAATGGTCAGAGATTACAGAGGTTTGCGGTAGGATACTAAGCCTGTCTATGTCAAGTCCAAGTGTCAGAACTAGATCTAAAGTGTGACTACAGCAGTGCGTAGGCCCTGTTACATTTTGGGTAATACCAACAGAGTCTAGGATTGAAGTAAATGCCTTTTTTAGTGGGTCATCTGCCTTCTCAAAATGGATATTAAAATCTCCTACAATCATTACCTTATCATTGCACACAGCTAGGTTTGCAGCGGAATCACTAAATTCATTTAAAAATTCTGTGCAGGGCCCTGGTGGTCTGTAAATGTTAAATAATGAAAATGCCTTCTTTTTTGTGGCCGGATTTGTAATGTTGATGGAAAGAACCTCAAAAGAAGTGAAGGTGTCACATTGTTTCTGACTGATATTTAGGGTATTCTGGTAGATTACACATAATCCACCTCCTTTGCCTGATAATCTTGGGCTGTGTACATAATTATAGCCTGTAGGGGTGGCCTCATTTAGTGCTGAATCCAATGATCCTCTCCGCTGTCCTGATTATGCACTGGAGTTGTGTGGTAGAGAAACCAAAGCAGATGGTTGCAGATGATGTTAGGACGGATTAGATGGTTGCTGTGTAGAACTGGATTATCAGGCTCTGCGGCCAATTGAATTTCTTCAGCTGTCTCAGGAAGAACATTATCTGCTGCACTTTCTTGGTGATGGAGGCTGTGTTCCTCTCCCATGTCAGGTCTGCTGGACATGGTGGTGGCAGAAACTTTAATGACACCACAGGGGAAACCACAGAACCATTGATGTTGAAGTGTGGGGTGGAAGGGAGGGTTGCACCTAAAGTACATCACCATCTGTGCAGTCTTTTGTGCGTTGAGTAGCAGTTGATTGCTGCTGCACAAGGAGACCAGCTGTGAAGATCCAGAAGTCGAGCAGCTGGTCTCCTGGTGCAGCAGCAATCAACTGGTGATGTCTTTAGGTGCAACCCTCCCTTCCTCCCCACGCATCAACATGAACGGTTCTGTGGTTTCCCCTGTGGAGTCACTAAAGTTTCTGCCACCACCATATCCAGATACTGGTCACTTTATCAGAATTCCCTTCCTTTAAGCTCCACCTGGAGTTTGTTAATGCCCATTTATTAACGTACGGTTTTTCTTGGCCATCCTCAACCCTTCAACAGCGACTTTCATTCAATATATATCAATGTTCATTGTATATATATCAATGTTCATTGTATATATATCAAAGTTCATTCCATATATATCAATGTTCATTGTATATATATCAATGTTCATTCCATATATATCAAAGTTCATTCCATATATATCAAAGTTCATTCCATATATATCAGTGTTCATTGTATATATATCAAAGTTCATTCCATATATATCAAAGTTCATTGTATATATATCAATGTTCATTCCATATATATCAATGTTCATTGTATATATATCAATGTTCATTGTATATATATCAAAGTTCATTCCATATATATCAATGTTCATTGTATATATATCAATGTTCATTCCATATATATCAAAGTTCATTCCATATATATCAAAGTTCATTCCATATATATCAGTGTTCATTGTATATATATCAAAGTTCATTCCATATATATCAAAGTTCATTGTATATATATCAATGTTCATTCCATATATATCAATGTTCATTGTATATATATATCAATGTTCATTAAATATTTCCTGTTTGGCTTGCCATAGTGTATATATATATATATATATATATATATATATATATATATATATATATACACATATATATGTATGTATGTATGTATGTATGTATGTATACATACCCCACTGAAAGAACAAGTCATGGATTAGTCCCTGAAAGTCTGTAGACACCTAAAATAGTAAAACTGTAAAATGGTTACATATAAATTGGGGGGAAAAGCCTCTAAAACTCTTGGACTCTTATTTTTATTTTCCTGAAACAAATGCACTGTTTTGTTTACACAGCATATGGTCAAGACACAACTCAGGCCTTATAGCTCTCTAAGTGTGCTGAGAGGCAGCATTCTTGGCAGGAAGCTGATTGGTGGCTGGAGTCACAGTCATCCTATACTCCATTTACTGACTGAGATTCTATGTTCTAGGCAATATCCTATATTTATATTTGCTTTATGGTAAAAATATACTGATTGGCAACTTTATTAAGTAAACCCACTTGTTTCTACACTCTTTGTCCATTTTATCAGCTCTACTACAGCATTTTGTAGTTCTACGATTACAGACTGTAGTCCATCTGTTTCTCTGCATACTTTGTTAGCCTCCTTTTAGCCTGTTCTTCAGTGGTCAGGACCATTACAGGACCCCCACAGAGCAAGTATTATGGGGTGTGGGTCATTCTCAGCACTGCAATGGTGCTGATGTGGTGGTGGTGTGTAAATGTGTGTTGCACTGGGGCATGTGGATCAGACACTGTTTGTAAACACCTCGGTGTCACAACTGGATGGAGAATAGCCCACTAACCAAAAATATCCAGCCAACAATGTCCTGTGGGCAGCATCTTGTGACCACTGATGAAGGACTAGAGGATGACCAACACAAACTGTGCAGCAGCAGATGAGCCATCATCTCTGAGTGGACACAGTGTTTAAAAACTCCAGCAGCACTGTTGTGTCTGATCCACTCAGACCAGCGCAACACACTCAAACACACCACCACCATGTAACTGTCACCACGGTGCTGGTAATGATCTACCACCCAAATAGTACCTGCTCTATGGGGGTCCTGTGGGGGTCCTGACCAATGAAGAACAGGGTGAAAGGAGACTAACAAAGTACACAGAGAAACAGATGGACTGCAGTCTGTAATTGTAGAACTACAAAATGTACCTATATGATAAGTGGAGCTGATAAACTGGACAATGGGTATAGAAACAGTGTGCTTAATGAAGTGGCCAGTTGGGGTATATCTTTATTTAATGATATTTGAATGTTCATTTGCATGCTCAAATCTATGTTTGTTCTTTAAGTAACCATTTTTTCTACAAATGTTTTTTTCTATTTTAGCTAAAAACAAACATGAAATTAAATGTCAGCTCAATGTGGAATGTGGATTTGCAAAGTATATCTGTGCGACTCCAAAAGAATGCCACTGGAATCCCAATAAACAGTTCAAGGAAATCAATGATGCACGATGCGTCCTTCAGCACGATGGTAAGTTTTGTTTGTAAAAGCAAACGTCAGTGTATTAGTAGAATTATCAGCATATTAGTCTGTTAGAAGACTAAAACCAAGAATTAAGTAGTTAATGACAGAATTTGCTGCACAGTATTTTAAGAGCTAACTAATAGACTCTCTAATAGATTAAAAAAGCATAAAAAATGCTCTTAGATTCACTGGCCTTATTCATCAAATTTGCACAAAAGGTAGAAACAAGCGCACAACAAACAAGCCCACATCTGGTTCTTGAAGCTATCGCACAGCATTCAAATGTGTCCATAAGTCTTATTATTTACAAACGGCAGACCCCAGTTTGCCCCATACATATAATATAATGTACAAGGCTACATATAATGTACAAGAAAAACACCATGATTAATGGAGACGTTGTGAAACTCAACCAATAAAACGCAGACATCCAGCAGACACATAGTCAGTAGTTGTCTCCATAGGAGGAGTTTAAAAGGAGTTTAAGAATAAAATACCTTAGTAAAATCCACATTAGCATTTAACGCCAACGTTTTGAGGGTTTTTTTTTTTGTAGTTAATTGCATCTCAGAATAAAAACACTCTTTATTGGGCTGCTAGCACACACAGTACAATTACACCAGCTTCAATGCTTGGTGGCTAGTTGGAGGACTAATGGCAAAGGGAAAACCAGTGGTAGGGAACAAAACCCACTGGTCTCCCACTGATGGCAAACACAGCATAACACTAAAAACATGCCATATGACACAAACACATGTGAACCAGTAGAGTAGCACACTTTTAGCTAACAACAGCTCTTACTGGTTAACAGCAACATTAAACTTACAGTCACAGGCAGCTGCAGGGGTTCATGGGAGAATAAAAATAAGAACACAGAGAGCTCAGGGTCTCCACAGTATGAACGGGAAGGTACACCTGTGTTTTCTTTTCAATTAAGGTAATCTTGTTTTGGCAATTGAATACACATGTACATAAGTATGCCCTATGGATATCTTGTATGACTGATAAATGGTACTGCCTGCTGCTGCTTAAGTGTTATTAATATTAGACTGTTATTTGACAACTCATAATAAATCTTATCTATGCAGTATATGAAAAAAGAAGTGAAAAATATGAATCAGTGCAATTATTATTTGTTTAATATTAGCTAAACATTATTAACGTAGTATCTCGTGTTTTTAATGTTCACAAAAATATTGGTTAGTCAACATAATGTGAAAAACATAACTAATGCAGTTATGAGTTAGGTAATATTAGCTAACTGTTATTGATGTAGCTTCTCATGTGTTGTTCATGTTAATGAATGCCTTACTTTCCGTTAGTGAATACTTATTGTAACATCCATCCATCCATCCATCATCTAAACCGCTTATCCTTCTGGGTCGCGGTGGGGTGCTGGAGCCTATCCCAGCTGTCATCGGGCGGAAGGCAGGATACACCCTGGACAGGTCGCCAGTCCATCGCAGGGCAGACAAACAGACATATACATCCACACACACACTCACACCTAGGGGCAATTTAGCATGTCCAATCAGCCTGACTGCATGTTTTTGGACTGTGGGAGGAAACCGGAGTACCCGGAGGAAACCCACGCAGACACGGGGAGAACAGGCAAACTCCACACAGAAACGACCCTGGTCACCCGGCCGGGAATCGAACCCAGGCCATTCTTGCTGTGAGGCGACAGCGCTACCCACTGCGCCACCGTGCCGCCTCTTATTGTAACATATTACCGAAATTTGTGTACATTCAAAGTCGACCGTATGCAACTTTGATGAATAAGGGCCACTCTGACCAGAAGTGAATTTGATTGTACACCAAAGATAAAACTGATGAAAACAGTCTAGGCAGCAACCTGATACTAAAATAACTGATACTAAAATTCTCTCTCATTTCTTTACCTTAAGTGAGCCACTGCATCAAAGTGAATCCAAAATTGAACTTGATGGAAGACCTAAACTGCACTATAACATCTTCAAGTATGTTGACCATTTGTTTTTCACAACAGTATATTTCACAAAGGAATTCATTTACAGCACTGCAGACATTTTCTCACCCAGTCTTCAAATTTGAGAAGTAAGACTTCATAGAGAAATCCATACGTGGATCAGGGGTCTGTGTCCTGGAGATCTATCTCACCAGAGATTTCAGGTCCACCCCACATGGCTGTAATATTCAGATGCCCCTTAAGGCCTTCATTACCTGGATAAAGTGTGTTAGATTAGGGTTGGAGCTACATTCTCAAGGGTGGTGGATCTTCAGGACCAGGACTAGGCATCCCTGACATAGAGGACAGATCAAGACTGAAGTGATCAGCTTAGCACCATTAATTTCTGCATGTCATGGACATTATGAGTCTGTTTGGCTGATTCACTTGTGTTCACAATGAATCTTTTTATGTGGATCACATGCAACAGAATCCAGAAATGAAGTGTTGAAATGCCATGCCTTTAAAAATTCAATTATTTGCGTAACACATTTACTGTACTACAATCACCACTTGACTTACACATTAATTTATAGTCCTTTCCATTTCCTCCTACTTACTGTCACATTTATTATTATTATCGAAATACATTGCTAAAATATTTATTGCAACATGCAAATCAGACTTGGAATTAATTTCAAGAACAAAATGTAGTGAATGCACATAATGTACTGAATATATATCACATGACATTATTCCTTATAAACAAGCAGATATCATAACGATAATGACAATATGGTAACTCTTAACTGCAGGTGTATTTTTTACATCTACTTTTACATGAATTACTGCATGTAGGCTCTGGCCTCCTGATGTTGGTCCCTCTCACTAGCAAAGTAATCTAATGCATAGGTTAACTTTATAGACTTTTGTCACCTTTGGGGTATTCATTTATTTATTCACTTATTTTTCTTTAGAAACCCCCCCCAACACTGGGACAGAGACAGGAGGTTTGTTTATTGTTTTGCTTTTCATTGTTTTTCTCTTAATGTATTTATTGTTACAATAAAGCAATGCTTATCATGACTGATTTCTATTAATCAACTCATCAAATGAAGGTTTTGTCCCAAGTGACATTATGTTCATAATCAGTTCTTATTCATTTTCACAGGTCAGTGTGATAACAAGCCATCAGGTGAGCAAAACACTGGTTACAAATGTGAGGGAAACTCAGGAGAGGCTCGTTTGTTCTTGACATATTAAATTCTTTGATCTTACTTTATATTATATATTAATTCTAAATTATATTGCTGCAAATTATATATTAATTTATATAATAATAATAATAATAATAATAATAATAATATTACTTGTTAGAAGCACCACTAAATACTGTCTGTTTGTCTTCTTATGTCTGAATATGCAATCTTAATAAATATTTCAGTATTTAAAAAGTGCATAACCTTAAATATCATTCTAAATTATTAGCTATATGCTCTTTTCTTTCAGAGGGACAAAATCATGGCTGTGTCACAAGTATTATTTTCAATGTAATACTGGGGATCGTTGTGATAGCGATTCTCACAGTAAGTTTATTATAGTATTACAGAAGTATTATTAATTGATTATTAATAGGCTGGAGCCTATTCCAGCTGTCATCAGGCAGAAGGCAGGATATACCCTGGACAGGTTGCCAGTCCATCACAGGGCAGACAGATAGACATACACATTCACTCACACCTAGGGGCAATTTAGCGTGTCCAATTGGCCTGACTGCGTGTCTTTGGACTGTGGGAGGAAACCCACACAGACACGGGGAGAACATACAAACTCCACACAGAAAGGACTCCGGTCACCCGGCCGGGGAATCGAACCCAGGCCCTTCTTGCTGTGAGGCTTACACAGGTGCATTAATGTGTCAATCACTGTACCATCAACTTTACTCCCAAAAGGAAACAAATCAGTGAGCATGTCAAAATCATGTAAATCAGCTATGTTCACATTTGCTTGTAATAGCGAAGTGTGAGAGGCAGAGGGACATGGCTGGTTAGGCATGGCATGATTTGGGGAAAAAAGATGGCTTGCCAGGAATATAAACAGACTAGAGCTCTAGCTTAATTGACAGTACGTCTTAGTCTGGCTCCTTTGGGTGAGGTCTCTGCAGCTGGCGCATTCATTAAAAAGGCAAAAGGAGTCAGAGCCAGCAGGAGCCTTCATGGTTTCTGCCATCATTTTATTCCTTCTGCTCAGTTTGAGAAAGCTCACTGCCCATGCAAAGCATTCTTTAACAACCGGATTCAGTTGAAAAATAACAAATGAAATTATTCTGTGTCCACAGGAACAATTATTGCATGATATATCAGATTTAAGATACTGTAGGCTTTCATAAAGTTTCTTGAACCCAAATAGTGAAAGAGAAGCTCTCCCCCTGCCCTGATTGACAAACTGTTATTAATTTTGCAGATATGGGGCATCATGAGGTGTAAAGGGTAGGCACTATATATTGTCATTTCCTTCATGAATTGATCTGTTAATTTAGTACTTTTGCCTCTGTTTGAGTGCTCATGCTTTCATCAAACATTCTGTGCAATGCATTTTTTATTCTAGATTGAAAAAAACTATATTCAAGTGTGCATTTGTCAGATAATACTGTAAATGCTTTCAAGTACCCACCTCTAAACTGACTTTTATACATCTGTTTCTTTTTACATGAGTCAAAGGAGAGACAGTGGAGGTAAGAACATCATATTAAAACAATGCTAGTGCATTTTTAAAATGGTAAAAGTCTCACCTGGGCACAGGATTTGTTGATAGTAAAGTTTTTTTCCTGAAAGCTGAAATATTAGCGTTATTAAGTATAGTGCTGTATCCCTGAAAAGAGGGCGAAAAAAGACCTGAAAGTCCTGCACAGTATTTCCTCTTTCTCATCTTATTATGAGTAAAACCAGTGAGAGCTCCCCCTTCTGGATGTTTGTATATATAAACAATCAATGAGTGCTAAATAATGTTACACTGACTCTGTGCTAGCTTGCAAGTTTTCATGAATGGCATTCATTACTAGCATTCTAGCTAACTGTTATGCTGTAAGACTGCTAGCGCATCAGTTTGAGCTAAGAGCAAGCATGTATCTTGTGGGCTTGTCGTTGTTAATATTTCATGCTTCCAACTTTATTGAAGTGTTCAGATCATTATGTCAAAATAATGTTGAATGGCAATATGGCAAGCTAGCTAGCCAGCTACAGTCATAACTGTTATGTTGTTGCAAGCCATTTCATGTAGTTCATGGTTTGTAAAAACAGCAGTTTGTTCATATAGAATAGAAACACTTAGAAACTGTCTTGTACAACTATATTTGTAGATTGAATTCAAAAAGCAGCATTTGAACACATCTATTTCAAAGTCAAAGTCATTTTTTTAAATTTGTTATATGAACAACATGTCAAGCACATTCATACACTGAAATACTTGTGATAAAGTTCAGGAAATTATTGTACAGCCATAAAAAAAACACTATATAATATGACATAATATGACTGTGGTCGTACGAGGACATTGGATTACTCCCATAGACACTATATAAGATTATATAGCATAGCGAAGAAACATAAAAGATGCTGAATAAGACTTTGATTTTACAATAGGTTTTAATGATGGTAACACATCTGAAATTGAAAGGACAACATTAGAACTTAGTGTTATTGTTTCTATCAACAGTGCCTCAATAATATTTACTGTGCCTAATTTACTTATGGTGGTTTTCTTGTTTGCAGGACTCTAGCTCCATTCATTCTGACATTGAGGGAGATGAGCAATATATAAGCCCATTTTGAATTTGATGCTGACACCACGTTCCAAAAAAGCTGGGTTGGGGGCATGTTTACCACTGTGTTTCATCACCTCTTCTTTTAAAACCCACTCTGTAAGTGGAATTGGGGTTGTGTGTGTGTATATATATATATATATATATATATATATATATATACATACATACATGCGCACACACACACACACACACAACCCCAATTCCAAAAAAGTTGGGATGCTATGCGAAATGTAAATAAAAACAAAGACAATGAGGTGCAAATCATGTTTGATCTACTTATTTAATACTGACCATTAATGGACTATTTTTGTTTGCAGTTTTCAACTCTTTACCTGCTTGTTTCATGTTAAGGAATGTTAAATATTGCAATTTAAAGAAACTTTGGGTAACACTTTCTATGAATTTCACATTTGTAAGCATCTATAAACACATTCATAACCTGTTATAATGCATTCATAAGGCATTATAAACATGGCTATAAATATTTATAAAAATGCATTACAAGGATTTACTGAAACACTAAAACATACACGTTAAAGCACATTACGGGCTTAAAATGTCAGATTTTAAACTATAGTAGTGCTGCTATTTATAGTGTTTTATCCAATGTAGGAAAGTCAATGTACACCACCGTTAGCTTGGAACTAACTTAACACTGCATATCCAATAGAATACTAGCAGAAATTAGCATTACTGTAGTGTACTGTAGTTGTGTTACAGAGTGAAGGTTTCTAGCGCTTGACGTTAGAACCATTGAGGGAACAAATTACAATGACAACACTCTTTCAAATATGTTAACACTACTTATAATGCATTACGTTAACAATTCATAATGTATAATAAACCCGGCTATAAAATTTTATTGAGTTATTTTTACTTTATCAAACCAACCCAACAGCAGTTCTATTGATATTACCTGGAATGCACAATTAAAACATTATTTTTATTCAAAGAAAGAATGCTACCTTGGACAAACACTGCATTTAGAAACGCACTCCGTTTGGAGTTCATAGTTTGTGAATGTTTAGGCTTTACTTATGTATATGACTCATCCTTGTGCTTAGAATTTATAACATGCTGTAAAAAACTTTTGTGTCAGCTTGCCATCTTGAATCATGATGAAATTGGAGTTAATATAAAATAGCTTGTGAAAATTACATGAAAAGATATGGTCTCAACATCATCATCATAGACTATAATCAAACTAGTCTTTGCATGTGGCTGAATTTAAGCTGAATTCAGTAAAAGTGGTATACTGCCTATAACAGTGGTCTCCAACCATGGACCTCATACTTTCCAGCAGAGCCACACCTGCTCCAGCTAACCAACCGCTTTCCAAGTACCTGATTGGATGGATCAGATGTATTAGAGCTGGTGGTGTAGCAGCTTATTGGATACAGATTGGAACTATACTCTGCAGGAAGGTTGTTCACCAGGCCCAGGGTTGGAGACCACTGATCTATAACATCATTGCCAATAGCACTGTTGATTTCAAACAACAGAGGCCCTTATTACCTGAATTCTGAGGCAGTTTCCATGTCAATCACTCCTTCCGTTACTTACTTCCCCTAAAAATAATCCTCTCTATACACCACACCTATGCAAAGCCTTGTCAGTTGTTTATCCTCTGTCATGAGCCTGTCTTTCTCTTTGTCAGTCTTTTGGTATTTTGACCTGATTTATGTGAGCATTTTGATTGATTTCTTTGATTCTTGACCTTCTTGGCTGTTTTGTCTGATTTTTGCTGTTCTGGACTGTGTTTTTGATACTTTTGCATGTAATGTTCTTGATTCACTGGTATTTGAGCCCACCTCTTCTCTGGCTCTGCCTTTTGCACTGTGGATTTTCTCTCTACTGTCAGCCTTCTGACTTAGCTAGGTAATAGGACTGTACAAGACGTTTTAAGTCAAGAGTGTCTGTCAAAAGCTGTTACTGAGAAAAAGAAACACCAAAACTGGACATCTAAGATTTGCAAGAGTAGAAAAAGCTACTGACTTTGAATACTAAACTTTGGAGGTGTTTATAAGAAGCATGGGAAAGTATCCCTGCAGATTACTGTGAAAAACTGAAAGCTGTAATAAAGGCAGAGGGAGAACAAAAGCTGGAAAATATATATTTAGTTGTTTCTAAGTTTCTTTTTAATGCACTGATGTTTCTTACTCTTTTGCTTAATAGCCTGTTTACCCGTACATTAAATTAATGAAAGTATAAAAAGTATACCACATTGTGTGTCTTAATGCTCTTTGGGTAGACATCATGAAAATGGAGAAATAATCTGCAGACAAAAAAATAAATAAATAAAATAGGCAGTATTTTATATATAAAACAAACTCTATCTCTCAGTTTAATATATACAGGGTGATTCAAAAAGATTCATCCGATTTCAAAATGATTTATTTCACTTGTGAATCATTACAGAACAAAGCAGTACACTGTAAATGGTTTAAGTAAGCATAAAATTTATTAGGTAATTTATTATGTAAGTGCTCAATATGAACCTCCTCCAGCTGTACGGACAACTCCAGCACCATAGTTAAATTCATCCCATACTCAATTGAGCATGTTGGGTGTCACTGTACTCACGGCTCTGTCAATGCGATTTCGGGGATCATCCAGTGTTGTGAAACCAACGACAACAAACGCTCTGCAGATGAAAATTACTCATTAACTAGTTTTATTGAATGAATGATTATTTCAATCTATATTTTTTGAGTTGAATACAACTAGTTAATTTACTTGTTGCCACATGAAGTAATTTTTTTAGGTTGATCTGATGAAACATTTTTTACAGTGTGCAGCATTCTATGCCGCACAAGCTCCACCTTGGGCAGCCAACAAATAATTATATTGTGTAATAATCCAAAGCAGCCCGGTTTTGTAGAGTCATCATGTGTAGTAGTATAACTACTAGTATAACTAATAGTATAACTGACTCATTCAGTGAAGTTTCATGCTTTTGAGGTTCTGTTTTCAGAATATTAAGAGATTATTCAGTTGGACATAAAATAACCCACAACAATTAAAACACATACCACGTGATGAACATACTTGAAGGACCACATACATGGAATAAGTAAGTGTTACTCATTAGTGATTATCGTCATAATATATATGTACATTCATCACCTACTCTTACCAGTTGTAATACAGGATTAGCCACCACTACCCCCATTACTCCTGCACTATGTACACCATGACAGGATGGAAATGCCTGCCCTACAGTAGCAATAACCGATGATAATGTAGAAAATGATGCTCCAGTATTGACCTGACCATTAATATTAATCTGAACTGTGGGTTCCATGTTAGCACTTAAATTTATAGCTAGACCTTGAAATGATCCTGGTCCTCCCAGGCCTCCCAGGCTGGATTAGGCTACTGTCCCCCAAATGGATTGTTAGCAGTCCACTCGGCAATTGGTGGCTCTAATGGGCACCTGGGCTGAGCTAGATTCTCTTTAGACCAGTGACCCCAGTCACCACAATTATAGCATAAATCATTTATGGTCAGCATCAGGCCTCCAACTATTGAAACCCTCTCTGCCATGACCATGTCCCCTGTTTATGCCTCCCTGGCCACGCCCAACTTCCCAAAGCACTGGTGCCTGACCCACACGAATAAAACAAATACATGAACAGGAGTTTCAGGGGTTTTATTCTTAGCTTTAAACCAGTTTCTACAGGCAGAGGGAAGACCAGCCACAAAAGCTTGCATAGTTATGAGGTTTATTGCCTCTGGCTGCCCTTGTAGGCTATAGTGTGCATCTGACACTTTTTCTGAGTCTCATTCCAAAATGATTGGGGATCCTCTTCTTTTTTCATTCTTTCCCCAAAAGTTTTCTCCCAGTTTACACTTCCACGATAACAACTCGATGTAGCTCTTTCTACTCTATTTACCACTGTGTCCCAGGCTTTCACATTACCAACTGGTAGGGGCAGAGCATGGGCATGCCCTACATGAAAAATAGCTATTTGTGTGTCTTGTAAAATACAATTCCTGTGCCCCTGTAATTAAATGACCATTCTAAGCCTTTGAGTATCTTGCTAGGGGAGGAATTAAGTGCTTCAGTCATAGTTCTAAAAGCATATATAAACTCCTCTGGATCCTCTCCAGGCTGCTTAGTACTATTAGGCATTGTCTGTAAGTCAAGAGGGGACCATAGTCTATCAACTTCAGTTATCCCACCATCTCAACTAGGCACCTGTCTCACAGGATATTTACTTGTAGGTAAAGAAAAATCAGGTATTGCTTTACTGTCTGCACTATAAATGAATAATTAGGGGGTAGGCTAAGTGAAAAAACTGCTGTATCCCCCATCTCAGCCTGCATTCTCTGTGAAGGAGTGACAGGAGGGGTTGGCCTGGCTATTTGATCCTCACGCAGCGCTATTGGAGGAGGTCAAAAGTCTGAGACCACCATTTATTTACTTCCAGGTAAAACAGCTATTAAGTACAAGCTATGAAATATGGTATAAAATAATTGCATGAGGAAAAGAAAAGTAAAAAAAAAAAAAGTGAAAAAACAGGAGACTCCAAAACTTGAATTAAAAGCTACAGGGAAAATGGGACTCCTAACAAACATACAAGACCTGCTAGACCACCAAAACTGTCCCAATCAGATAAACAGCACTTAAAGCTTTCATCTTTAAAGGAGAGGAACATCTGACAAAAAAAAATAATAATAAAAAAAAATAATAATAATAAACATAGGTGTTTCTGTCCATCCTTCCACTGTGAGAAGACATCTCAGCGCTATGGGTCTGAAAGGATGTATAGCTGTCAAGAAGAACCTCACTGAGAAAAGGAGACAGACACATCAAACAAAGAAGCTGAACAATGGACTGACCACCCCAGAGTCCAGACATCACTGAATGTGTTTCGGATTACTTGGAAAGTGAGAAGAAGAAAAGCCAACTTCTAAGACTAAACTGCATATGTAGTTGTTGGATGTTTCTGTGTTATTTTCTGTTAAATATATGTTTACTGCTTTTTTTGTCTGCCTGACCTTGAAAAATGACTAACATGTACT